TCCCTACAGATCATAGAGTTGGAGAATATCAATAGCTACACGTTTAACAGACAAAGGAACGCAACTTCTTGGTCCTAACATGCAATATGCTCAAATATTCAGTTAAGACCAAGGACTGAATCACTGCCTAAGTGTTTGCCTAAAACTGTACTGAAGGTTGATGTATAGGAACTGTGCATTTCTTACTACTTATTTGGACTTCAGTCCTTATATTGTTTTATATAATGTATTGTTCTTCTCTTGACATGTACATATGGAAACTACTATCCTTCCAATAAAATGCACAAATGACTCATCTTAACAGCAAGCAAAGTTTTAAATTGCTTCATTCTTAGAAAGTTACCAGGTTTTTCAAACATTTTAATCCCACTAGGGTCTTCAACGGACCTTTCCTTATGCCACTGTATACTTCCTATGTACTTAATTCATTCAAAAGGCATGCCTTCCACTGCTCCTTCTCCTTTATTTGGGCTGTTCGAAGCTTCGGTCGCCGATTTGATTCAGAAGAGATTCAGCCCGATTTGGCGGCTGAATCCAAACAGAATCGGGAGACCCATTAATCTCTCCAAATCAAATCAGAAGCCTCCAATTCGATTCAGAGAGATTCGACCATTTGGTCATAGACACAGCTTCAGATGTTTTTTCTACGTACCTTGAGGTACCAGGCGCAGCTTGTGAATGCTGAGATGATGAGGTGGATGGAGCATCCCACAAGAGCGGGGGGGAAGAGAGCCCCACACACTTGGCAGCAGACACCATGGAAATTAAATCTAAATTATCCTCACATAATTATATAAAAGATCTTTAAACAGTGCTAGAGTATGGACAGCTCTCTGGCAAAGCCCAAAAGCCAGATATGCAGATACGAATTAATCCAGAAGTTATACAAGTTGACAAAGGAGAAAAATATCAGGTACTGGCTGAAAAAGGATTCCCAATATTTCCCAACACTTCTTCACACTAAGGATACAAATATAGTCTGTCAAGAGCTAAGCAGCCCTTCTGCATGTAACTTATTCCTGTGGAGCAATTTCCTAGAGTGAAGTTTCTCAGATTTACTAAGCAAAGGCGGAGTTAAATGCGCATAACATTTAGAGCCCACAACACAACAGCCGCAACTTTAAACCAAGGTGTAATTAATTGAGCTTCCTCACCCAGGGGAGCATTTCCTTGATATATTGCTTGTTTTGTTCCAAGATTACTCCCATTTGCAGAATTAGCATTACTGTAAAAATCAGAACTAGTCAGATCACCCAGAATTGCATCCAAATTATCCAAGTCACCACTCATCTGGAAAAAACAAACAAACAGAAAACTCTCTTTATTGTCATATAATTTATCCCCTATCTCCTCACCAGCCTCACATGCCATATGTTTAGTTACTCATATAAAGATAAGCCCAATATCTTAAAGTATTAGGACTTCCAAAGAATATTTCAAGCTTCATTTAACGCTTGAGTAGTGCATTTTACTTGGTAGGTTTTGGACAAGTAAAATTTAAGGACAAAAGTTGAACTGCTATTGTCCTTACAAATAACCATGAAAAGGACTCAATGTACAAATATCAAAAGAAAACTTAACTGTAAAAAATTGTGATATGGTATTTATTACATGCACAAAAACACTAAGTATAAAAATCAAGGTGGTCAGGGACCAGATGCAAGTCAGTTTATGGACAAAAATCGTATATAATTTTAAGTTTCTTTTGGATGAAAAAGAAGGGCCATTTATAATCAGAACAATATGGTATATTTGCATATAAAAGTAACCTACTGCGCAACTAATCACAATCATAGTGATCACATGTACAAAACAACCAAATCATTTTCTGGGAAACTGCATTTTGTTTGCTTTGTTTTTTCCAATTTGTCCCTATATCACATACAATTGAACAAAATAAACCTATGCCAGTTGGCTATAATTTCCCTCAGAAAACATTCAATCATTTTTAGCATTCAACTGGAAGTTAAAGAGGAAACACAGTTTAAAATGCTAGGTGGTACCTGGCATTATTTATTTATTTAAATAAATAAATGTGGCATGGAAAATTACATCGCCATAAGATATTCAACTGGTAGTTACCAAACAGAAAATTATTGTACAATTAGCAAGATTAAATTTTTTTTAAAAACTTAAAAGATGAAAATGCTGCCATACTAATTATCAATTTTATTTATATTGCAGTAGCCCCCCAAATGAGCTAGGCTTTGTATAAAAATATAAAGACAACATAGTCTCTACCAGGGAGTTTCACAAAGACCCTGAAAGCCCCAGAAGCACTACTGACTGCAGTGGGGAACGATCTTATGCAAAATAGTTTGCAAATCATAACCAAAATTTAATTAACTAGATTACAGAAGCATCTATTCCAATATAGCTGAACATTTATAATGCTCTCATTGGGTTTTCACATCAGCACAGAGGTCAGCTAGCAAAGAATATCCTGAAGTGACCTGCAGTGTTTAATGATTGTTTGAACATGTAACTCAAGGTTAAGGTACTTTCTTTTCAACTCTTTGAAGATTTTTTTTTTTTTTTAAGTACTGAATAAACACAATCAAATAGTAAGCAGTGAATTATGTACTTTCTGTACAGAATCAAGACATGATCTATTTTCCTCTCACACAAATACAAATAAAAATGACTCTAGAAAAACCAAATGACTATCATCTGTGTAAATCTAGTGCGAGAAGCTCAACCAAACCTTTTTAAATGAACTGCACATAGATAATACTTTTCATTTTTGATCATTGTCTTATGCTCTATAACTGCAACCTTAATAAAGTTAGGGAGTCAGTAAGCAGCAGCATTTCCTAAAGAGCCATAAAATAAACATATGCTCTGTTAAACTGTAATTTTTAAATATCTGTGTTTAAATACACTAAGTATACTTTGTTTTTGCTTTGTTTTCAATTGGGTGATATCACAATGCTAATATTATTCAAAGAATTCCAACACAGCTCATTTTATTACAAAACATACTGTAGTTCAATGTATTTGTGCTTTGTCAGCTACTAGAAAACCTGAGCATGCTTCCATGCAATGTTTATACAGTACTTCCTTGGAAATGTTCAGAGAAAACAGGAAAGTTCCTCCTATAAGCTGTTAAACTCTATTAAGACAAATATTATTGGTGAATACATTGACAAAATCCTGTTGTATTAAATACTTTACCTCTTCACTTGGCTCAATTTTTACTTTAATCTCCTTTTCTTGATTTGAAGTAGAAATAGAAGAGCTACTGCATTGTCCCATTTTGTTGTCCAGACTTTCCACTTTAGGTTTAATATCTTTTGAAAGGGGATCCTTTATATCATCCTTGTCTAACAGGTATCTGAGTAGAGCATTGTTTTCCTTCTTCTTAGGACTCAGTTGCTCCTGTTTGATAGTTCCTTCTCCACAAGGAGTTGTATTGCTAGACTCATGGTATGTGTCTTTACCAGTAGCTTCAGCTGTGATCTTGGCTACCTCTGCTGGAGAATTACCATTCTGCAACAACTTATGCAAAATCCTGTGCTTCTCTTGAAGCAAGGACCCATGCATATTTGATGAGGAAGATACGCCTCCAGATGTAGAAGAAGAGACTCCTGAGGGACTTGTAACACTGGTGGAAGATTCTTTACAATTAGAGTCCAGTGGTGAATTTGATAATGTAGCATGGCCCCTCTCCTCTGAGGAGCACGTGAGTAACTGAAGGAGCTTTTTGTGACCTTTGCTTTCAGATGGTCCCCTCTGACTCTCAGACCCTTCCAGACTTCCTTCTTTATTGTCTTTATCAGTAAGGAGGTCCCTGCTGTTTGACTGACACATGGAACTCTCCACTTGACTCTGTTCACAATATAAGACAGGGCTTTTTGAGTCTTGGTTGCCCATTTTACTTTGTTGAGCTATATTCATATTTGGGGAATTATCCAGTTTTGGTCCTGGTGAAGAAAGTGTTGATAAAAGGGAAGTGCCAACACCCTCGCTGATGGCTTGAAGAGCACTAAGGGAACTGCTAGAGAAGCTGTTATTGCTAGTGTTGGTAGCAGATCCCATCGGAGAATGCATACCTGTATCATGTAGTACAGATGAGAGTTATTGGATTATAGCATTTATCTACATTTGATTTTACTTGTAAATTAAATATTATACAGTAAGTCTATTTAAAACATGAACAATGAGAATGCAAATAGCAGAAATAAGATATACAGCAGCATGAAACTGGTTACCTTAAATAAATATCTGTGATAATATTAGCTATGTTACATGCAAGTTGGACTATGCAGATGTAATAAAAGAATGAAAATAGCAGAAATCAGGTAAGAAAGGGAAAAAGCAATTTAAAAAATTTTTTTTTTTTTTTTTTTTTTTTTTAAAATCACAACATACCTGCAACTGGAGAAAACTGATGTGAACCCATTTTTGGACTCCCTCGATGCCTAGGGGAAATCATCAAATTCTGTTGGCTGGAAGTCAAGCCAGGACTACCATGGGGTGGGCTACTCATATTTAACCCATAATTGTTGTTCTGAAAAGGAGATGACTGCATTCCTGGTCCAGAGTTCATCGGTCCCATATTACCAGGACCTCCATATCTAGTGCTGCTCATCTGACCTACTGCACTGGGATCTCCCATGCCATAGTTCCTGTTCTGTATTGGCATGCTTTGACCTGGTGGCATATTCATAATAGCACCAACTGAATTTGTGCTTCCAGCTGTAGGTGCTCTGATACTTTGTCCCACTGGATTAGGATTTGGTCGATATCCGTTTTGTTCTCTGTAAAATTCAGCACCCCCGAAAAAAAAAATTAAGTTTATTCATAATCAAGAAGATAATGCTATTTAATAACAGGAATTCAAAGAGTAGCATGAGATTCTTAAGATACGTCCAAAAAGGTCAAACTAAACTTGATATACAGAGTTGCCATCCTGCTTGTTCAATCACATCATTTTATAAGGAGCAAAGGCCATTTCATTCATGAAAAAAAATCTTACCCCTTTAAATAATTTTATACCTTTGTCCATAATTTAGCTTCATATACATTTACTATTTTGAACAACATCCTTCTCATACCCCTCTCTTCCTTAGTCAATGCATGACACCACTCTAGTTGTCACAGAAGAAAACTTTACTGTTGCCACGAACAATCTTAACTGTTCATTGATCAGCAGCTGGAAGCACTTCTGTAGTGACAGGCGCAGGCAATCTCCTTCCAAAGTGCCATTTCAATTAATCTTGCAATCAACAACGATAAATCAGAGGAGGTGCTATTTATGGCAAAGCTGGACTTGCTATTCCTCAAGTCATGTATGGCACATTTTGAATTCATTTTGTCTGCGTTTAAATTGGTCTCCAATAAGAAGGTGGCCAGGAAGATCAAGTATTAACTGAGTATTTCTATCTGTCCAAGCCTATCATTAGAAGCATTAAACCTAGAGAAAAGTGAAAGGATAACATAGCTACCAATTAGAGTACAGAGGGGGAAAAAATAAATTAGCTATTTCTGTAGTAGATTGGATTGAGCAGTAGAGTAAAACACGCTTATAAGGCCCTTCCTTTTAAATATATAATCTTACCATTGGTGACTCTAAAACCATTTCATTTGCAACATGGGTCATTATTTATAACCAAGATACTCAATCTTTGTTTATGCTTCTAGTTTCATGCAAGATCCTATATTTCTCCTTTATACAGATCTTCAAGAAAAATTAGTGCAAATATCCATTTTTAAAAGCTATAATATTTAAATCTGTCAGATGAACACTTTTGATTTCACCTTTGAAGCAAATGAGTAGAGACAAATCCATGGCGGTCATTAGTTACTGGATTTCGGAACAATTTACTCTTTGTTTGTGCTGTCACTATAGTACCATCTGCTAAGGAAAACCGATACAGGGGAGTTTCAGCATGGCCTTGGATGTAAGCTGCAAAAGAAACACATAAATACAGAGATATAATCTGATTGTAAAACCACCGTAATTTACAAACTACACAATATTTTTAAAAAAAGATAACCAGGTCTCTGGAAGATGTTCAGTTAAAGGTACAGTGTGATATGAATCACAGTCCAAACAGTCATGCCTCCTGCCATGCTACATGGGCATGGGAGGCATGATTGTGGGATCAGAGACCAGATGTGCACCTACTGCTGCTGGGAGCTCCTGTCGTATGACCAGGGCTCCCAGTTGTGGGAGCACACAGGAGCCAAGGGTTCCATGTGCTCTTGTGGCTCGGAGCTATGATCAGCTGATCAGGGCTCCCAGCTGTGGGAGTATGTTGGAGCCCTTGGGGATGGCCACATGTTCAGTTTAGTGTGATGGAAATCAGCCACAAAGTTATTGCACATTATTGGTGAAATAAGTTTGTGGCTTATTCCCTGTTTTAGGGAAGCATTAATTAAATGAACACTTACTTAAATGAACCAGGTTACTACTTAACTAGTTAATCACATCTTATGTGTAACATATGCCAGAAGCCCCCGTTTCATAAAATGGAACACTGTGTGTGGGCACGCAGGATAGCGGTTCAAAGCATTGAAACATATTGCTACATAACCCACTAAACAGAGGAAGGAAAGAAAGAAAGGGAAAAAGAAAGAGAGAAAGCAGAGGAAGCATATTTTGTTGCAGCATTTTGTGCCAACTACACATAATTAAGAGCTAGAGGTGCCCCAATAGAGATTTTGGGGGTCGATACTGATAGCCAATTTTTAAAGGAGGCATATCAGCCGATGTCGATTAGATTTCTGATACACCTGCGTCCAGCTGGTAACTCTGTTGTGGTGGAAGGGGAGAACGGAGGGAAGGAGTATAGGGGGGCAGATCAATGTCCCGCACAGAGGGAGGGAGGGAGTGGGGCTGGGTCAGGTGCTACCCAGCTGGGGGGTTTGGAGG